GTTCCAGACCCTTCACAGCTTTGTTGCCCTTCTCTGGACACACTCCAGGGTCCTCAACCTTTGGCATCCCTTGATTTCTCCTTGTAGCAAGAAGAAGAAAAAAAAAAGAATATTCTGTATTTCAGCGTAAGTTCTAACAGCACAGTTGGAATATCTACTCTGGGTTTATTATGCTTTGGTATGAACGGATAATTCAGGTTGCATATTGATTTTTTGTAGGCAGTTTTGGAATGCAGGAGGAACGCATGTGATAGCTGTAGTCCTGGAGAGGGGCTGCACTCACATTCGTGTGCGTACACGTGCTTGGTGTTCACTTTCTTTGTAGAAATAACCGTTCCCCGAAGCAGGGACAGAGCCACTCTGGAAGAGCGCGTCAGAACGAGCACGGCCACTGTTGCGCTCCGCAGCCAGATGCGCCGCCAGTCTTCACTGCACATCTACCTGAGGCAGCTCTCACAGAATTTACACGCGCACTCACGGCCCTCCTGGCCACTGCCACGTCCCCGCAGAGGTGTCTCGTACCTCTCACACAGCCGCACCGCGAGGACGCAACCCAGGGGCGCAGCCCTCAGACCCGAGCGCCCTCCCGGAACAAAGCGCGGCGCGCACACCACGGAGCGCGGCAGCCGCTCGGCAGCGCATCCGCGGCCGCTCCGCTGCGGGAGGGAAGGCCGCGGGGAAGCGTACAAAGCGGCGCAACCGCGGCGTCCCGAAGCCATCGCGCGAAGCGGCACGCAGGCCCGCGCCCCGAGCCCGGGTCCCTCGGAAGGCGCTCCGGCCCGAAGCACGCACCCGAGGCGGCCGCGGTCCTCCCTCCGCCCGCCCCTCCCCTCCCCCGCGGCTCCGCCGCCTACGGAAAAGGCTTCGAGCGCCCCGAGGGGCCGAGCGCGCGGCCGGCGGAGGGGAGGAGCGGGCACTGCCGCGCGCGCGGCGGCAGGAGGAGAGCGGGCAGCAGCATCCGCCGCCCGTTTGGGAAGCCGCGGCCGCACCCCGCGGCGCCTGGCGCCGGCACTCACCCCATCCCGCCGCGCGGCGCTGCCCCTTTAAACCCGCGCAGGCCCCGCCCCTCCCGCCGGCCGCCGCGCCGCGCCGCGGGCGGGCCGGAGCGCAAGATGGAGGCGGCGGGCGAGGAGCGCAGGGCGCCGGCCGCCTTCGTGGCGGCCCTGGGGCCCGAGGCCGGCGGCGCCGCGGCCGCGGTGCTGCCCGAGCGGCTGCAGCGGCGGGAGGCGGAGCGGCGGCGCGGCGTGGCGCGGCAGCGGGAGCTGAAGGAGGCGCAGGCGGTGCCGGAGGAGGGCAGCGAGTTCTTCGCCGCCGCCTTCGGGCGGGAGCGGGAGGCGGTGGAGGCGCTGCTGGCGGCGGAGCGGCCCGACGAGGCGGCGGCGCGGCTGCAGGGGCTGCAGAAGCTGCTGACCGAGAGCGTCCGCTTCCTGGCGCCCTACGAGGTGCGGCAGGGCCAGGAGGCCGTGTCCCGGCTGCAGGCCGACCTGGAGGCCCGGCGGCGGCAGCTGCAGCCCAAGAAGAAGTTCGCCTTCCGCAGCCTGAAGAAAGAGGCGGCCCCGGGCGCCGAGCCGCGCCCCGCCGAGCCCGAGGAGCCCGCCGAGCCGCCGGCCCCGGGCAGCGCCGAGGGGGAGCCGGGCGGGCCTCCGCTGTGCGGCTTCAGCCGCGTCGAGGGCCGGGAGCTGGAGCTGGGCCCGGCCGAGCTGCTGCAGCGCGACGTGGTGCTGGAGGAGCTGCGCGGCTGCCGGGTGCGGCTCCGCGGCAACCCCAACACGCTGCGGGTGCGCGAGTGCCGCGGCTGCACCGTGCTGTGCGGGCCCGTGTCCACCTCCGTGCTGGTGGACGGCTGCGGCGAATGCCAGCTGGTGGTGGCCTGCCAGCAGCTCCGCACGCACCGCACCCGCGGCAGCCGCTTCTACGTGCAGGTGACCAGCAGGGCCGTCATCGAGGACTGCAGCGAGGTGTCCTTCGCGCCCTACGCGTGGAGCTACCCGGGCATCGAGGCGGACTTCGAGTCGTCCGGGCTGGATAGAAACAGCAACAACTGGAACCTGGTGGATGACTTTGACTGGCTGGCGAGCGACAGGCCCTCGCCCAACTGGAGCCTCATCCCCGAGCGAGAGCGCGTCAGCTGGGACTGACGGCGAGCGATGGAGCCTGCCGGCAACGTGCTGGTCCGCGGGCGGGAGGGCTTCGCCCCTACGGGCCGTAAAATGATTGCAGGTGGTGCTTCGGTGGGGAGTTACAGCCTGTGGCTGGCTGCTCTCCTTGAAAAATGCCACTCGGATGTAGTTTACTATTACTAAATTTGCTGCTGTAATCTATATGTATCGCTGTGGGGTTGGCCAACTGCTGCAGTACCTCATTGCTGAATTTCTTTAATTAAGATGGGGCTGGCGGCACCGGTATTCACGTGGCAGCAGTCCTTGATTGGAGCTGCTGTGCTGCTGTCACTCAGCCAGGCAGAATCCGAGCTCCCTGCTAGTGCAAGCTGTAGTCAACTGAAAAGAGGGAATGCCAAATCTGTCCCATTTCTGTGGTGAAGCAATTACAGACTGCTGTTACGGGTATGGGGGAGGGAGGTATGCAGTGAAGCAGCAAACAGAAGTTTAAAGGAGTCTGTACATGGGTACTATATGTCAGGTGACTCCTAGGCTGCAGTGCATCTGGGACCCAGGCTCTGCTGAGTGGGTGACAGCTATTAGTCAGACTTCTATTTCAAGGGAAAAAAGGTTAATGAAAATGTAATGTTCTCTTACTGTATTAATGATTGAAATCTATGTCTAGAAAGTAGATAAATACTGAACAACATCAGTCTCAAAGTATGCGAGAGGAAGCTGCTTCTGTAAACAGCAGGAACCTGAATAAGGGTGTACCTCTCGGGCCATGCATTGTTTGCAGACAGACATCACAAGTGTCAGGGCAGCAGTGTTCAGGCATGTCCCAATGGTTGGTTTTTCTGCTGGCAGCCAGTGAGCTTTGCTGTGATCATAGCTCACAGCACTGCCACTGCCTATCGCGTGCAGTGCTGACAGAGGGACTTCATAAAATGTGATAACGGAGCACAGTATTTGGGTTCCAGAATAACATCTTGCACAAAGGCCCTTGGTGCACAGTTACCTCTCAAGTCCCATTTATTCACTCTTGTTCAATACTAGAAAAAAAAACCTGCATTATGATGGAGGTTTCTTATTATAAAGACCTCTAAATGGTACAATGAGCAGTGTGCAAAACCAGCCCCTTCCTTAGGAAAGAAATATTACCTTGCCTAAACAGCAGCTCAGAAGTTGTATTTAAGAACTCTACCTAATATTTATGCTGCCCTGTCATTGTATGTGCCTCTGATACTGACTAATCCATCAAAACTGCATCATTGCTATGAGGAGTATTTTGAGTTCTTAACTGCTTTGGAGCAACAGAAAAACTTAACCTGTTTTTTCAGCACATTTAATTTAAAAGGGGATTTAAAAAAGGGTGGGCTTTTTTTAAATGTATTTTCACAACTTCACTGTTTTGTTTACTTCTGTTGATGTACACTTCTTTTGAATGAACTGGATTTTGCATTTCAATTACTTGTTTTGAGTTGTTCCTTTACCGTGCATTGACAGCATCATAAAATCATTCAGGGAGAATGCCTATACTGTTGCTTTAACATATACTGGTTTCAGTACCTGCTAAAGGGAGATGATTAGATGCAACTCCTACATGTCTTCATTTCAACACATCGATGTACAGAGCCTGATTAGATAATATTACTTCCCCACATACGCTGGTAGTGACAGACCCATTCTTGGGTCATGATAGCAAGATGTTTGGCCAATTAAAAAAAATAAATGAAGCAAAAGCCCACACAAACACCTTTGTTCTGCTAGCCAAAGGCTATAAGCATTTCTGTTTATTCTGTGGTGCTAGACAGTGACACATAGAACTGTGGGTAGCACCACATGGCTGCAGCGTGAGATGCATGCTTCCTAGCAGGTTGTGCAGACTGCCAGCTCACTGCATACCTGTGCTGGCTGCTGCACATCACCTCACAGCATTGTGTGAATAAGTGGCATAAGTTAGAAACACTACATGTTGACTTCAGTTTCTGTTGAGAAGTGCTTCCCAGTGACCCTTTCCAAAGGTCAGTTATTGAGATCTCAGTTCACATGTACTTCTTTGCAAAGTACTTCTGTCAAGTCAAAATTACTGAATATCCTTCAGCAGTATAACTTTACAGCAAATTGCTACAGATGCTCCTGGCAATTACTTTCCCTTAAATGTTTATCATTACTTCAGTATTACAAATTTGCTAACTGGATCTTGGCCTCTGGCATGACACAAGATGAACAAATCCAATTTCAGGCATGAGGATATTTGGTCAGCCACGTTTTTTAATGTGTTCATAGTTCTGTGTACCATAAAATATGCACCCAGGTAGTTAAACATCTGTGCACTTTTTTTTAGAAGGTAGAATTCTTAACAGAACAATTTTCAGAGAAATGTAACACACTTTGAAAACCAAAGTGTGTTAACAGTAACACATTACGTGGACACAAGTACTAGAAAAGTTTTGTTGGCATATTCACAGGCTGTGTGAGTATTGAAATTGCAATTTTTGGAAATCTTTTTCATGGAAGAAACAAATACCCGGGCATTGCTATGTAGGGATTGACTTAAACATTAAAAATACTTCAGGGAGAGGACATCAGAGATAGCACAGGCACCTGCAGGGCATCACTGCTGTCCCAGAAGACAGCCTTCATCCTGGCAGCAGCAGTGCAGAGCCCCAGTTCATTCACCAGTATGGTGGCTGCCAGTGTTCCAAAGACATCTGCAGGTAGAAGAGGACAATTAAGGCTAATGAAAGAAGAACCACTGCTGAGGTCCCAAAAGTGCAGTTCATCATTTGATATGAATCCATCTTCCAGTCAAATCTAGTGGGAAGTTGTAACTCAGATGTATGGATATTCTGTTCATGTAGGTTTGTTTTGTTTTGTTTTTTAAACAGAAGTATTTAAAAGCATGAAAGTAATACACAGAAAAATATTGATAGGATAGTTACACGTGTAGTAATCCTTTTTAAAATGTTTAGTCTGTCAGTAAACCAATTTCTTCTTTCTATGTTGGAAACAATTTCTTTTAGCAATGATAGACTCTAGTTGAACATTTTGGAAATAGTATCTGGGGGATACTTTGGCAGGCCTAGAGTGTGGGATTATCTAGACTTTCACCGGAACTACTTACTGAGCAAATACTAAACACTGAGTGACTAAGAGCTGAATTTACAGTGCTTGTAGCTTGATTGTGTTTACCTTTTGCCTCAACTGCCAAAAGTCATCAGAAAAATCACTTTGTGCAATTTTCAGGTAAGCCTCACTCCGGAGGACTGATAATATCTTCAGTATGTTAGCAGTGAAATGCACTCAGTGAGAGTGCCTGGTTTTACCAAGTCAGGAATTGTGCCATCTTGTCTCTGTGGTGGAGCAGCTCATGCGTGGTCACATTCAAGCAGTGTGAGGAGACATACCTGGAGCTGTCTAGGCAAGGGGGAGAGCAGCAAGGGACTCAGCTGCTGCGTATTCCTCTTCAAGCGTTCTCCTCCAGCACCCAGCGGCAGGGCTGGGCACTGCTGGGGCAGCAGCTGTCAGGAGCTGTGCCAGCCTGTCGGTGTGCTTCTGGGTCAAGGAGACTCTCAGTGCCAGCTGGTCAGAGCTGCTTTGTGTCCCTGCTAATCGCAGCTTGCAGGGAAGGAGAGCGGCACACTACTCCTTGCTTCAGTATAGTAAGCAATGCTGACACAAAGAAAATTGCCTGACAGCCCCTCCTAGGCCAGGAGCCAGCATTGCTTAATGTCTTACCTATTAGAGCTTGCAAGAATCGCCCAAGGCCTGTGGGGAAAAAGCAGTTGTGTTAAGGAGATACTGCTCAGCCTTGGGTTGAACAGGGCTGTTTTTGTGGCTGAACTGATAACGATGAAGTCAAGCTCACAATCTTGCTATGGGGAGTGTAAAAGCAGCACATCTGCTTTGAAAGCAAACTGATTTCATGCTGCTTTGCCCAAAAGGAAGGCACGGGGCCTAAGACCTAATACACAGGAGAAGATAGAACTCAGAGGAGGTTGTCCTACCAGGTGAGCAGAAATACCAAGAGCTGATTGCTGCCTGCATTCAGGGCAAACAACAGCAGCAGTATTTTTAGCTTTCCATCTTAGCACCTGCACTGTTCATAATGTGAGACCAGAGCAACATTTTCTCAAGATCTGTAGTTTTGGTTTGTGTTTTATTGCCACCAGAATAAACAAGGCACTTCTTTAGAACCACACGTGCACAGTGGTTGCTGTGGCTTCATAGGCTGAAAAACAAATGCCTGCTGGGGCCGTGGTTATGAATACATCAAGAGGATAATAAACATCAGCACAATAAAGCTAGATGTAAATTGGCCCTGAACAGAAGGCTCACTGGCAGAAAAGCAAAAAGTTTCTGAGTAGTACAAAGCACTGAAGCATAGAACAATTTTCCACAGAGAGTTGCAAGAACAAACATTCTTGCAAAGAGATTTGGTTGGCATGTCCTTCCAGACGTCTGCAAAGCAAGAGTTACTGTGTTAGTTCACCACAGCAGCCTTGTTCAGCTTTTTAAATCTCATGTGTTCGTGAACTAAATAAAATAGCTTAAAAGACAATTCTTCAGCACTGCACAGATCTATGAGCATTCATATTCATTGGCATTTTGGGATATAGCACAGACAAATGGTGAGAAAGCTTGATCCTAGGGAAGCAACTGACAGCTTTGTTGCTGTTTCCAGTGAGGCCAGCAGTGTATCTGAACATCCCATCCTGAGTAGGCAGCCAGTGCACTTCTGTCCCTCCCTTGGGTATCATCACTTTGATGCTCAGCTCTCCCCTCTTACCTCCTTCTTCCCATCTGACCCTCCCCACTTGTGACTGTGGCATTTTTTCTTTTCTGGGTAGGGCCATCTGATCCACACAACAAAGCTTATGGTCTGCACTGTACTGGAAAGCCAGTTTCATCACCTGCAAGGAAAAAAATCTGTGCCGCTTGTGGAATTTCAACATTTGTATTCACAACTTGATCCAATTTGTCTGATTGACTTCAGGTTCCATCTGTTTTGCTGAGATGTTTTCCAGCAGTGACTACTGTGAGTCTTTTGTAAGCTTCTTCCAATTTCCAACATATTTTCCTCCTGTTTCTGCAAGTACAAATATTGATTTATGACTCACTCTTTAGCAGTCAACCCTATGCTTTAAGCATTACAGTAATACAAGTAAATACTCATAGTGAGCACCTCATAGTTCAAAGACAGACTATGCTTCCCAACACACTACCCATGCTGTGGATAAAGGATGGGTGAAGTGCCAGAAACTGTCCAGAGTAAGCCTGTACTGAAGATCCACAGTACACCTGGTACATCACATTACCCTTTGGGACATACAGCAACCACAAACAATACTGGATTCAACCACACACCTGTGTTCCCAGCCTCAAGACCCATGGGCACTTTGTGTGGCATGCATACAGCAGGCTGTTGCTTGCATGCACAGGAGGAAAAGTCACAAACCAGTTTTTTTTCTGCTGCCTGTTATTTATATAACGTGGTACAGCCATTGCAACACCTTGCTTCTTAGGGCTGTCCTTCAACAATGCAACAATCAGAAAGATCAGCAGGGCGGAATGTCAATAGAAGAGATACAGTAACAAAGGCACTAGCACAGATAGAAAGGCATTACAAAGGCAAAGCACTCACCTGTCTCTGAAAATCTAGGCTCACAGGAAAAATTCCACAGGAAAGAACCTCCAAAAAGAGATTTTTCCCCGGTATCAGTCAGCCCTTAAATGAGGTCTAAGAGAGGTGCAGCCAGGCTCCACCCTTCCAGTCACACAGCTGAATTGCCCTCACCTGTGCTCCCATGACTGACTCCGTCCTTTCCCCAGGTGATCAATCAGTGGTTCAGGTCATGATTCAACAGTTGCCGTACACAAACATTGCACGGTTACAAATTCAAGCAAAACCACCAACTTCAGCACAAAAATACATTTCTTATCTCCACACAGTGACCTCCTATGACATTTAAAACTGATCCCTTCACCTTTGTGGTTACACCAACATGGAAAAAGAAGAAAGTCAACAGTCAAGAAACAAGAAAGCCACCCATTTTGCATCACAGAGGAGAAAGAAACAGATTAAGCCAGGAGGTTTTTTTGTTTTGTTTTGTTTTAAACCAACTAAAAGCACTTCCATAATTTGGACACAGATTGCACCTGTATAAAGGGAATTTGTTTTTTAGCAGTCTTATTCATGAAGACTTTGTCAGGAGCATGGTAGGAGTGGGTCTGGGCAGCATCTATATAGCAGATACTGGATTTAATGATCTGCATTACATTTTCCTCTCTCCCAGCATTGACTGGTAATTTTCTGGGTTATGCTTATGTTAACAGGCATAGCTTTTTGCAAAAGTACCAATATTGTATTGTTACCCATAGAAATCAAAATTTTGTAACAATATATTGAGTTTGACCACTTTTGTGGAGATTCCTAGCAGATCAATAATCATTTGTACATTTTATTTTAACATTTTTTCCCTCTAGAACAGCAATGCATTATACACTTGAGTCTGATATGCAGCCTCTGAGGAGACCATTCGCTTGCACATCCTTGTGCAATTAGCTTTAGTCTGCTTTGGATCATTTTCAAGATTTTTCCAGTTGAATTACCAGGCAGGAAATTCACCCAATTAATGGTCAGTCTGAGCCAAGATAAAGGTTTTCAATAAGAGCAGAGAGCAGGTAAAAATAGCTTTCTTTGCTGTAATGCCTACCCCACAAAACACTTCTCAATGATCCCCCCATTACTTTCCCCTTTCCTATGTTACTGTGCTAGAGCCAGCCCTCAGCTCATCAGTTTGATGAAGCTCACGTGTTGTTTGTAACCTCCATCTGGAATGAGCTGGAAACATAATTTCCCCACTTCTTAATTGTTAGCTTCATTTTTTGAAGGGAGCATAGCACAAAATGTACTGGTACCAATCCCTTTTAAAACATGCAAGCATGGTGATTTGATAAATAGGAAGTTTTGACTACCCTCAGCCTCTAGCTGGTATTGAACTCCTGACGCTCTTTAAATAAACAGCAGATTTCTAAATCGTTGTTTTGATAACTCCCTGTGATAACTGTAAAGGAGTCACCTGAAGTTATAGAGCTCCTGAGCGTCAGGTGAGTCTGGGAACATCTCCCAGAAAGCATTAACCAGTTGGGAGCAGCTTATTACAATTCCTTCTGTTGCTTTCATGTAAGGAGAGGACTAAGACAGTAAATCTGGAGATACCAATGAATCTTGAAGCATACTGTGTGGGGACTGTTGAGTCAAGCTTGATCCATTGAAGGCAGTTCAGCTATGTGACTGGAAAGGGTGGAACTGGGGAAGGATCTCTGGTTGGAGATCCCTCCCTTGTGAAGTTTTTCCCCTCGAGCCTAGATCTTTGGAGATTAGTGAGCATTCTTTCCCTGTTTGTCCCTTTTGCCATTTCACTCCTGTATCACCTTTCCACTGCACTGATCTTTCCAACTGTAACACATACGCTACGTGTTCTATTTTACCACTCCTGAATTAATAGCAAACAGCACAGTGTATAAAATTGAATTACCTCAGATTTATTCAGGGCTCTGAGTGTTAAATTATTAAGGTAGCAGGTGTTCAGCTTCATCTATGCTCCTGAATGCTGAGAACTTCTCAGTAGCCACAGTGACACCAGGCTTACAGCCGCCGTGGGCAAGTTTACTATTTCTCATCTTATCAATTGCACTGCAGAATGTATTTCACCATATATTCCTGTGATTCACAGACCTGATAAAAAATTATTTTTCACTTACCAGTTTTACTTTGTCAGCACTGACAGAAAAGGAAAAAAAAAATAGTTTCACGTACATAGGACTGACTTCAGGTTGTCAGATAAGTGCTGCCTCCAAGGTACCTTGTCCTGAGCCCTAAAGAAGTTAGTGAAATGTAGCAGCGTGCACTGCATAGGTATGAGTTAAGAATTACTTTGGTTGGAAAAGATTTCTAAGATCATCTAGTCTGACCATCCACCTACCATCAGTATTGCCCATTAAACCACATCCCTAAGTACCACATCTCCACATTTCTTGAATGCCTCCAGGGACAGTGACTCCACCCAGATCCTGGGCAGCCTGAGCCAGTGTCTGACCACTCTTTGGGAGAAGAAACTTTTCCTGGTATTCAACCTGAACATCCCCTGGAACAACTTAAAGGCATTCCCTCTTGTCCTATTGCTAGCCACTCAGGAGAAAAGGCCAATGCCAAGAAGCCAGGAGAGATGTTATTTCAGAGCTGCAGCTTACTGAACAGAAGCGCTTAACAGGCTCTCCCAAGAAACAGCCCTCTACACCCACCATACAGCAAGTAGAGAATGGCCCCGATGGGCATTTTCCTTCCTCCACCCCCCTGGCACGCTCACCCCTCGCCTGCAAGGGTGGCAATGCAAACAGCCTGCTGTAAGAAAACCCGTTACCCTCTGCTCTCCCACCTAGATGGGGAGGAACATCAGAAAAATCTGCAGCTTTATGTTCTTCATCACCACATGAGCAACCTCCCAGCATCTAAGGCAGCAACCAAGTAGTGCATATGGTCCCATGCGGCAGCAGGCTACAAAAAATACTTTTTTTGGAGCACTGCACTTTTCTGCTCCCCTTCCTCCCAGGCAGACCCTATGCTGGCAGTAGATGCCCTCACCAAGCCCTGGAGCTGCCCCTTCACCTCTCTGCCCCAGCACCCACACCCTCGCCCACCTGTCCTGCTTCCAGCCTAACAGGGCCAGGTTTTTCCTTGCTTGAGTCCATTTTTCCCTGCTGCAAAGCTTCTCCAAGCAGGGTATAGGGTTATTTATTGTGTTTCTCTTAACTTTTCCTTTCGCCTTCCCTCTCATTAAAGCCTGGAGATTGTACAGAGCCTGAAAGTAAATAGAAAATGCCAGGTGTGGGTTTTTTAGGTCACTATAAACGACATGCTTAGCTACTTTCAGAACGCCTAAGCCACGGGATGTCATCTGGGGTAAACAGGGGAGGCTGAGGACTGGAAAGGTGTTGGTATGAATAAATTGGGGTCACACAGAGGAACTGCACTTATGCATTCAAGCAGCTGCTTTTGTCTCCACAGCCTCTTCCCTTTTCCTCAAAGCATCCATATTCTGCCAGTAACAAAGATCTTTTTATGTCGCTGAGTTTTCACATTCTGCCAAGCAGCCTATCATAAGAAAGCCCAAATCTACTAAACAGTAAAATGAGGGATTATTTCCACTCATCTGTTGACAGACATTTCTCCAAATTGGATCAAATGATTAAAGGTATTAGAATGACGTCTTGCAGATCCAGATCAAATCATTTGAAACCTTGAGACTGTCTCTCCTTTGCTTGGAAGGAACCACCAGAAATAGTTGTAGGTGCTAATTGCCCATTATTCTTACTAATGTGAATTTGTGAATTTGGACCTTTGAATATCTACTCGCTTGAACCCAAGCGTGGGGAGCTCAAGATGGAAGGACCGTGCAGCACTTCACTTTGGGCTGCGTCGGCCGGAGCTTTTCTAAACGTCTGAATGGTTCTTTCTCGAATCGCTTACACGGAGAAGCGGGGGTCCAGGCTGCGAAAGCTTTCAGCGTCTCACATATTGCGACGATGGCACTGCTGAAAGTCAAATTCAACCAGAAGAAACGGGTAAAACTAGCCCAGGGACTATGGCTCATGAACTGGTTTTCAGTGTTTGCTGGAATCATTGTTTTTAGCATGGGGTTGTTCCTCAAAATTGAGCTCCGGAAGAGAAGCGAAGTGATGGACAATTCTGAAAGCCATTTTGTGCCCAATTCTTTGATATTGATGGGTATATTATCCTGCGCCTTCAATGGGTTTGCTGGCAAAATTTGTTACGATTCTCTGGATCCTGCTAAATTTGCCAAGTGGAAGCCTTTGCTGAAACCTTACCTGGCACTATGTTTCTTCTTCAACATACTCCTCTTCTTTGTCGCTCTGATTTGCTTTCTCATGCGGGGCTCCCTGGAGAGCACGCTGGCTCAGGGGCTGAAGAACAGCATGAAGTTCTACCGGGACACAGACACCCCTGGAAGATGCTTCATGAAGAAGACAATTGACATGCTCCAAATTGAGTTCAAGTGCTGTGGGAACAATGGCTTCAAAGACTGGTTTGAAATTCAGTGGATCAGCAACAGATACCTGGACTTCAGCTCCAAAGAAGTGAAAGAGTAAGTGATTTAGCAGGGTTTGTATTGCATAGTATCATTATTTGATCAATGCTATGCTAGAGAAGCATGCACCAAAACAGATGCTGACTGGATATTTTTTGTATAAAATGCTTTTTTTAATCTGCACTTGCTTTAATAGGGATGTCAAATATTCTAATTTCTCATCTGCCAAATTCCCCTAACATTATACAGAATGTAAAACATAAAGCGGAGAAATACAGTTCCTGCTCTTACATGGTGCAGTGTAAACAAACTTCCAAAATATTCTTCTGTATCTTTTACATCTTTATAACTCACTACGTTGAGCCTATTGTCAAAATCAAGTGTGTGACTAACAGCAAAGTAGCAGAACCCCACTGTATGAAAAGGAGATTTCTGTGAGACCTAAGTTCCTGTTCAGAGGCTCCTAGATAGACATGGTCAGCACCACTTTTAGAATTCCATCTTAGATATTGGTAATTAATCTTTAGGAAACAAGCAGAAACGCTAACACTTTAGTAATAACCCATGTGTTTTATATCTTTAGATTTAGA